ACTCGCGTGAAAAATGGCCAAAGGAGGACAGGAGAGGAGGAGCGTAATGACACCGTGATGGTACCCCTCCACCGAGGCGCGCGGCAACACTTGCGCTTTGTCGCAACGACACGTTTGTTACAACTTGCACAAGGCTGAGAGGCGCGTTTCCTGCGCGCTTCTTCGCTCCGTGGACAGAAGAGACGCAAGACACCGTGACAGCACGGTGTAGATTGTAACACGAGCGCCACGTCTTCGTCGTGTGCTTGGTGGGCCAGCGTAGTGCGGTAAGCCACAGCGCCTCGTCATGCGAGCGTCGTCTCTTCTGTGTGCTGACGAGACGCTGCTTCACCTGGTGCTCGGCTCCAACTCGCCGCGTTACGCAATCTACTCGGCTCGATTTTCTAGAATCAATTGGCGTCGTTTTCGGAGCGTTTTCGGTTTGCTGATCGATCGATCGATCCTGCTTTCAGTTGAGGCCGATCTTCTTCATTTCGTGGAAATTGAACTTTCGTGCGATACTTTAGAACGAATTCAGGATAGGAATGAATAGATAGCTTCGTTGTGAATGATGGAATAGATACCACGAAATAGATAGTGTAACCTGATACAATCTACTATAAAATAGATGCTATAATCTGAGACAATTTATATATAAAGTAGATAGTCTATTATAAAACGCGGATAGATAATAATTATGATAATATATTTAGATTTTCATAACAGATGTAGATTTTGAAAGAAATGGTGAATTAATGGTAAAATAATATTTACTCACGCAAAGTTGGCCCTTATTTTATGAATGAATGAATTATATTTATGAAATTGCACATTCGCCAATAAAGAAGACCTGGATTGAACTTAGAGCTTTAATTTAAATTTAATTCATCGGTCCAATTCATATTAAATCAATCTTAAAATTAAGAATAAGATTGTTTAGAATAGATGAGGTAGTTTCCACAATCAATAGAGAACCAGATAAGAAGATAAAATATACGAAGTGCATTGGAAAATTGATGTTGAAGTGTATGGAGAGAATATGAGTCAGTTAATCAGATTGATAGCGAGGTATTGAGTAACTGAGTGATAACTATCTTCTCTTCGAATCTACCTATGGTTTTTTGGTTACGACTGTTCACTGAATTTGATACCCCAATGTTATAAACATATCAATATTAATTCTTTCTTTACCATAAAATCCCCTTCTCCTTGATAACGAGATCAACAAAATCATAAATATCGCACTTATACAATATAATATGTATAAATATTGTATACATAATTATAATAAATTAATCACAAAAAATAATATATAAATTATATTGTATAATGTTAAATACAAAATATAAGATTATAAAATATGTTTGTTTATATGAATTGTTATATAAAATATTATACATATTATGCGTATAAATATCACAATGAAAAAATTACAAACATTCAACGCGAATTTTTAATCATTATTCGAAACTCGCGATTCATTATGATTCTTCGTCGATATGCGAATGTCTTATTTCATCACATTTCGTTCCTACAAATTCGAAAAATAACTTCCCCCATTCCACAAAGTTGCAATTAAAGTCTATAATTTGTAATTTATTTACGAGCGATCCAGCTAATTACGCAGGCGAGAATTTTAATTCGCTTTCGTAACGAGTCACGGGGTAAACACGATTTCATTATGCAAAACACGCCGCAGATATATCAATTTTCTCTTCCCCCGGGGACACGAGCTGTTTCATCGATAGCGTAAAAATGGCGAGGACTTATTTCTGCGAAGAAACAACGTTGGTTACGGATAACAAATTAATCAAATGGTAAACCAGTAGGTCATCGAGACAACTGCAACGCAATAATACGCAAACTAATCACGTAACGTAATGCATACACGATGAAAAGAGAACGCGGGAAATTAGCATACGCGTATCCATTCTGAAACATAAACGTATGCTCCTTTGAATTCGATTTTCAACCACAAGATAGTCAGATATTCAAAATAGAATTTCTGGATAT